AGTTAAATCACATGTGTGACAGCAATGTGAATAAATTCTTGTTCGACATTGTATCATCAAAATAAATGTTGAATAAACTTTGCCTTCATAGTAGCCCAAAACAACTCTGGTTATCTAGCAGCAGTTTACATGAAGGAAACTGTTCACAATCTCAATTCTAGTCTGAAATGAATACATTCAGTCCAATGGTTCAAACTGCATTCCAGTTTGTAGTCAGTTTAAAATTTATGAAGATTTTTTTCAAACAGAAATTTTATAAAGAGTTAACAAAATGCTTAAAACCTTACTCAATAACTAGTATTCCAAAAATATTGATTGTAAATGGAGTTTGCTTTGAACGTGGCATGTTGTGTGAACTCATCTGTGATCATTTATTCAGCAAAATAAAAAACTGTAAAGCCAGTTCCTATGCAAAATTCATTTCACATTTCCCCAAACACAGTATGCTGCTTTCCAAGTTGACAGAGGTATTTGTAACCAAAGACTTCAGGATTACCTAACCAAAAATCTTATTTAAACTTTAGCAATAGTAGCTGGAGTAGCTCAATATACTGGTTAAAATGTGATTGGCTACTTTCTGGTTCTAAGTGTGTCCTGTGAATGTAGCCTATATGGTTAGCTTCTGGTTTAGTGCTGTGCACAACAGGCAAGCAGATCCATTCAGAAAACTATGGTTTAGTTGAGCACAGGTCAAATTCTTCTTTCTTACCAAAAAATAAATTCACGTATCTTTAAATATAGATATATATATATATTGCAGAAAAGGAAAACATTTCTAATTAAAAGGCAGACGTGAAATCCATGCCACTGGTATTACTCTCTTAGTAAGTGGGGCGCGCTTCGAAAATAACCAAAACCGTTTCACAGGTGACAAAACCGAGTTAAACCACCTTCCTAAACGTTTCCTGTTTTGCTCCCTCTCTCGAAAGGGAATGGTTGCCTCGCGAAGCCAGGTTTACCCCCCTCGGCACCCAAGGACTCCTTCCAAACTCTCACTTCCTACTCCGCTTCCGACCCTCTTTTCGACGACACCGCGAAGTTGCTGCCGTTTTCCTCCCTCCCTACAGCGGCACTTCCACCATAAAAAAATAAAAAAAACCTCACACACGCCTGCCTGCAAGGCATACCTACCCTCTTTCTCGTCTCCTCTCTTCAGCCGCCCTGACCACCCCACCCCACTCAAGTTTGCACTTCGAGGCCTACCGCGGCTGCCTACCAACCCTCTCCAGCCCAATCGAAGCTCTCTCACACCCCCACGCCTCCCGTCCTCCTAAACCCCCAGCCTCCTCTTCCTCCGCCTCCATTTCTCACGGAAACTGGGTCTCGAAACTCCTTTCCCTTCCCTATCACCCGCTCCTGCCCAAACCCGTGTCCAGCATCTCTCCCTCCACCCGCTCGTCCCAAATGCTTCCCGCAGCCACTGTCTCCCCACTCCCCCACCCAACAATTCCCCCACCACCCACTCTTTCACCGACCGGATCAATGTAAAAGGCCTTCAGCCACCTTCTTCCTTCCTCTCTCCCAATTCTTGCACCCGAAGCAGCACTTATTTACACTCCCGCCCCCTTTGCCTACTCCGGACTCGCCTTGCCTTCCTACCTCAGTTTCTTCCCCCGACGCTGGCAGCCACTCAACTCCCTCCTTAAAGTCCAGCTCCTCTTCTCTCTCTCTCTCTCTTTTTTTTCCACGCAAGGCCGTGCTTACAGAACCAGGCCCCAACTCGCCCCCTCACTCTCTCCGTAGCTTCAGTTCCTCAGACCGAATCATAACAAAGCTCTGCCCAAAATGGCTGCCCGGACCGGCCGAGGGCCGGAGTGGGGAGGGGCTATTCACGCGAAGGGGGGGTGTTAAGGGGAAAGAAACACGCCCACCTGGCCCTGCCCGTGCCAAGGGTGGAGCGCACGCGCGCTCACTTGCTAAGCCATACAAAATAGCCGCACGCGCACCGCCTATCAAAGACTCTTCGGAACGCTCGCTCGAATTCGCCCGTTCTCTTTTACGCATGCGTGAGCGTGTATCATTCTGTTGGCGTTAAGTTATGCTCAGTTCGGTCTGCAACTATATCTTTCACGCTTTGTTCTCGGCTCCTCTCCAATTGGCACAACTTGTGGTGTTCTTGCTCCGTAGTGTGTCTATTCTCGCAGCACGGTTATCCGTGGATAACTCGGTTCATTGTCCAGGGCTCGCGTGACTCCCTGAACCATAATAAACTAAGCGCATACCGGAAGGATTTGCATTGGTCGATTTAGTTTGGAACTAAATGAGCCATGGAAAACAGTATAATAAAGTTTTTATATATTTTTTCTGCAATTCTCTGTGCTTTTGATAAATCAAACATTTTTGCTCATTCGAAATTAACGAAATGTCTGTTACTTAAGAAAAACCTGGTAAAAAGTTTAATCCGTTTGTAGGTATTGTACCTACAATGTTAAATAAAATGGTAAACTCCAGCATAGCACCCTTAATCATACTTTTCTAGCTTTGTTTGTCCCCGTTTGTCTGCCATCTTGGTTTCTTTTGTGTTTTTTGCATTGTTTCTTTGTTTTTAATTTTTTTAACAATTTGTACACCTTTTAGAGTCACTGGAAATCAAGCATCAAAAACATTTAATTATTATTACTATAAAACTGGGTGGTTAACTACTGACTGTAGTTAAAATAGAAAGTTAAAACAAACGAATCAATTAGGACTTAGCCTGGTCATACAATTTATTCAATTTATGTGCTGCTCATGTCCCCTCTAAAGTTACATTACAAGTGTTTGGTTTTAGTTTATTTTTTTTTATTTTTTTTATTTTATTTTATTTGTTTGATTTGCCAATTGTTTACAAGATAATAAGTATAAGTGTATACATAGTTGTGAATACATGAAATGGGTACATATAAGAAAAATAAAAGAATAAGAGAAACAATAGGACAGGGACGGTAGGCACGTTGCACGCCATAAGATTAGATGTTGTGGTTTGTATTGTGTAAAGACATCTTTATTTATTGAATGAAAAATGTTAGATCAACATGTCTTTGTAAATGGCCTTTTACATTCCTGAATGAGTCAGACCTAGGTAAAATGTAAATCTGTGTTTTTTTAAAGCTACTAAAAAGGTATGATCACAAATAGTTAGAAAAGCATGCCAAAGGCAAGAATTGTAAATTATCTGTTCTTCTAAAAACATCCTCTATTTCTGAACAATTGTCATTAGACAACTGGATCATTTCTATTAAAAATAATTCAAAAGGAAGAGAAATATCAGACACTCCTCCCCCACTCAGTCCAGGAATCTATTACTTCAAAGTATGAATTAATCCATAAATAATAGGGTTAGCTTATAGCTAGCTTTTTATTTTTACAAGACAGCACTGTTGACAAACTATCTTTACAGGACATACTGAACCAGAATCATATGCAAGGTTAGCAAATGTTAGCCTAGCCTGTGCAAATTCAGTCTGCATAAGATTCAAATCATTATGCAATACAGGATACCTGAGGAAACCAGTTAAGTCTACTATAGATTAACCCATCAAATAAATAGTTAAAGTGATGTGCACAAACAAACAATGTGTTTAGTTTATGATCCAAGGCTGAATTGGAATAACCTGGTAAACTATCACCTAAGTAATCATTAATACTATGGTATGTGTATACATCCTTTCTCTGCTGTGCAAAAATATTTGCTTCATTTTTTTCTGCACATTTTTCTTTAATGCCAATTAAAGTACCCCTATGTCAAATAAGATAAAATTATACTTACAACAAAGGGAAAATGTTTAGTAAAAAGCAGATAGATAATTAAAAGGAATATAATTTAATCTGAGACATAATGTGAAATATGCTGTTTTTGTTGATTTATACAGATTAAATGTTTTTACTATTTAAACTAATTGTTCAAAGTGCCAAACAATAAATGTTATGGTTTCATTTTCTAGAATTTTAAGTAACAACCACTGCCCTTTTGGACTGAAATAAGTTCTTTTTATTGTTCTCTCAAATAAAGGATCTTTCACACTTTTGTATTCAGTGCAAATCTGGGTGAGATTGAAATGACAGTTTTGTCAGTGTGAAATCTGTCTCTGAAGCACACAAGAAAAGTTGTTAAATCATTGTGCCTATAAATATGAGTCAAAATTGTCCATAATTAAGGAGTTGGACTAGCACTGCCGGGACCCATGTTCAAATCTATTGTTAGCCATGAAAGCTTAATAAGATGACTTTAGGTCTCATTTCAGAGTTTTTATGGGGGGATTATAGAGAATGTTCTGTAAGCGTTTTTTTTTTTTTTTGGCTCCTGGTTTTTGCATGGTCTTATATCAGGGTCTTCAAACTTGACAGCTTTAAGACTTGTGGACTTCATCTCCCAGAATTCCTCCTCCAGTCATGTTAGCTCAGGAATTCTGGGAGTTGAAGTCCACAAGTCTTAAAATTGCCAAATTTGAAAAAAGCAGGATATAATTATAATACACATAAAATATGTATTTGATGTGTTACAATTCAAGTTATCTTACAGTTATAAAGAATATACAGTGTAGCCCATAAGTGGCATTTTATGTACCATATGTATGCAATCAAAGTAAAAAGTTATGTATAAAGACATCCAAGTAATAAGAAAGTCCTGATAGATTGTCATTCTGGATTAAGTTACCTATAAAGCGAAAATGACCTTTTGTTGTTATTGCATCTTACTATGTGATTGTTATATATTCCCGGTGCTGGTCATTTATAAACAAACCAATGATTGTGATTCCTGAGGTTACTTACATTCATCCAATTCATGCAGTAAACCATGATTATAGCAATCACGGCTTCGGATCTTCTGCCTTCACTACCCCACCATAGTCAACCTAACTTTTAGAATTAAAGTCCTCCTTCACGTTAAAAAAAAATAGCAGTAACTTAACAGTTCAAAAAGAAAAGAGCGGATAACACTCACGGTTCTTATACAAAGCAGGAACTGAAGGGAAACCTGTGTTTCAGGCTGAGAGCCTATTGGTCTGACACGCGTACCCGGCGGACTTAAACGGGAGCAAAGGAAGTGGCTTGCCTTTCAAGCGGATAATGGCACGGGTGTTGGTGGGGTCGGTTTGCATGTTGCTAGAGTCGTACTTAGCCCGAAAAAATATAAGTTTCTCCTATTTCGTACAATATTAGAGGAAACTCGTCGATTTTTATGCCTTAGAGTGCCTGTGACGTTCTGGGAAGCCTAATATACGAGTCTGGAAAGCCATTGTAGGAACGTGGGGTTTTTTTGGGGGGGGAGGGGGGCTAAAACTAAATCAGATATCGGCTGACTGGCTTTGGACTCTCCTCTGAATATTCGCTTCTCTGTTAGCTCCTTCGGTTTTTCCTGCTCGTATATGGTGAGTATCTCCATTCGTGTAAATGGGGAGTGGGGGGGGGACACGTTGGCGACGTGGGCTTTGAGTTAGCGGAGTGGAAATAATACGATGCCCTGATAACGAAGTCAAGGAAAGAGGAATTTACTTTCGGTGTAATAACTGAGGAGAAAGCAAGAAGGGTTTATCTGAAGTTTTAAAATGTATTGAATTTAAAAAATAAATTGAGAGGTGGTTTGGTTTAGTGATGAAGGTGTTGACCTAGAAACCAGGAGACACTGAGTTCTAGTCCTGCCTTAATGGGTCTTCAAACTTGAGAGCTTTAAGATTTGTGGACTTCAACTCCCAGAATTCCTCCTCCAGTCATGTTAGCTTGGGAATTCTGGGAGTTGAAGTCCACAAGTCTTAAACTTGCCAAGTTTGAAGACCCTTGGTATAGCGGAATTGTATACTATATATACTATATTATATAGTATAGTGGAAGATATGGTCAAGGGTTGATATATTTAATGCATGTTATAACTGCTGCAAGATTGGTTTATGCCCATAATTGGAAAAATGGAAATATCCCCTCTGAAAGTGAGATAATAAAGAAAACACTGGTCTGTGCAGAGATGGACAGACTGATGTTAGAACTTAAAGAGAAAGGTGAGACAGACTGCCATGAAGTTTGGAATAAAATGTACCAATGGTTGGACATGAGGAAAAGAAGTCAGAACAGAAAATATTGATGATTTACAGGATTGAAGGTGGAAGATATTTAGATAAAATGCAATGGAATATAGTGGATAAAATGATTATATAAGAATAGCATAAATGAAGTCTATGTTGTAAATATAAATATAAATGAATATGTTAATAGCATAAACTTAGCAATGTAAGATAAGTAGAAAGTTATCTGTTTTATGTTATAGTATGTATGACAAAGACAAATGCCAGGAAAGTCACACTGTGCCCAACATTTTAATATTTATTCAATAAAATTTATTATTAAAAAAGAAAAAGAAAGCGGGTGGTGTGACTTTGGGCCAGTCACTCCTCAGTCCAACCCATCTGATGGGGGAAAATAGGAAGGAGTATTATATATGTGTGCTGACTTGAGTTGCTTATGATAGGGGGTCACCAACCTTTTGGACCTCAGGGACCACCAAACTCATAATTTTAAATCCCGCGGACCCACTAATATGAATTTTGACTGACAGTGGCTTGCTGACATTGGTGGGAGAGAGAGAGATCTGATCTAACCTTGGAGGGCTGGCGGTGATGTTCTCTCTCTCTCACACACACACACACACACA